TTTCTTCATTGGAACAGATTTGGAAAACCTTAGCATTACATAATGTGGATGCTTTTATCAGCTGTTTGGACTCTTGACGGCACCCATTCACTGCAGAGGATCCACTGGTGAGCAAGTGATGTATGCTAAATTTCTCCAAATCTGGTCTGATGAAGAAACAAAATCATTTGTATTTTGAATGGCCTGAGGGTGGAGAACATTTTCAGCAAATGTTTTATTTGTGGCTGAATCCTTCTTTGAAGGCCTATTCCGTTACGTTTTCTCCTGCACTCCACTTAAGTAACACTTGCATGCACCAGACTTCACAGTTTTCTGTGGATTTTGCTGAGGGGTTTGTTGTTCTTATGTTATTTGCCTGATTTATATTTCATTTTATTCCTAAAAACACGGTGAACATTTTTTTCTTCATGTCGACAGTATTTACTAACATCCCTTCTGTTCAACATTAATATGTCAGCAAAATGAAACAAGAATTTTGAACATGGTTTTAACCGTTGTTTCGATTTCACTTCTGTGAATGTATGCAAATATATGTATATTTAATTATACAGACCTTCATTTTCATATTTAAACATAACATTTCAGAAAACATGTAATACACACCAATTGTCTTAATGTATTAAGAGATGAGAACGTATGGTGATATCTATTCGTTATACTCTATTCACCTGTAGTGTTTTGCCTTATTGCTGGTGTTTTTCAAGACTTGATTCTCATACACTGTATATCCAGTTTTAACCACTTGAGAAAGCTGAACACCTGACAGCGGTGAGAGCTGTCTGCTAGTTTAACATGTGTAAGAATATTTGTCAGGCACATTAGCTCACTGTGGGGTTCCCATTGTGTGTAAGGAGGCGGCCTTCAAAACCCCCATTACATTCCCTTTCTGTCTTTTAGGGTGCTCTGTGTAGGAGGCTATGTGGGATTCCCCATACAACAAGTCAAAAAGCACATAGGAACCTGCCTCTGCTCGTCGACAGAATACCCGCTCTAAGCAGAATCCTTCGTGTCAGGACAGAGGAGGGCGCGGAGGACAAAGAGAGCAGCCGAGGAGCAGCAGTCAGTCAGTCAGACTCGGGAAGAGTGTGGGCTGCAGCATTCTGCCTCCTGAGTAGCCGGGGGTCTTCTATAGCTTGGCTGGCTCATCATTACTTTTCAGGCCAGACTTCAGCCAGGTGAAAGAGGTGACAGGCCGTCCTCCTACACGCAGATTCCAGTGGACGCTGGGCACGCTCTCTCACAGCTGTCAGCTGTTGTGATGTGCTGACAGAAGAAGAGCGACAGGAAGTGCAGGGACTGCCACACACATAATGGAGCTTACTACTTACTGCGCACTATGCACTGTATATCGCCTATGGTAACACTTCATTCTGATAGTCCACTTGAGACATTGTGCTAACTATAAGTAATTTTGCAATTATGTGTCAACTACCAGTCATTAGATTATTAGTAGGCTGTCTCCTTAATATCTGCTAACAATTTCTTTTGATGGTCCCAAACAAACATTCCATGTAAGTACTGTAAGTAGCTTTGTAAGTACATGTCAACTCTAACCCTAAACTAACAGTCTACTAAAACTCTAAAGAGAGTTAACTGACATGCAGTTTCAAAATAATGAGAGTTCGTTGTAATAAGTCATTTCAAAGCTACTTAGAGTTAGCAGAATGTCTAAAGTGGGCTATTGAAATAAAGTGTAGCCTCACCAACAAATGTTTTTAAGTTTTAACAGTAGGCATTATTTCACATTAAACATTGCAAACAGTAGTATTTTACAGTGTTGTCACATGACCTCACTACTTTAATACAGTAAATTATGATAAGCACCTTACCAGAAAAAAAGTTATTTTGTAATTTTTTTTAAATCCAATTTTGCATTAAAAAAATTGAGATTTTTAAGATTTTAAGATAAGATATTTTTTATGTTTTTTTTTTAAAAAGAAGTCTCTTATGTTCACCAAGGCTGCATTTATTTGATCAAAGATATAGTAAAAAAAAAACAATAATATTGTGAAATATTTTTTGTTTTCGATTTTTTAATAGATTTTAAATGAATTCATTTCTGGGAATTGCATTCAGAAAAGGTGCAGACAATACAGAATACACATACTATATACTTCTGAAGAAATAAGAGCAGTATGATTGAATGCTCTTCACCTAGCCATGGTGCTTCAGAACATCACATAGCTAATATCCCGCTCAGAAGACATCATTCATGTACTAAATAAAGGATCGGTCGCACAGATGTCAAGTTAGCAGCATGTGAAACAGGTTCACAATGAATCCCACGTATACACGGCAGTTAGGATCGCTTTGAAGGAGAAAAGCAGGCTAACTTTGCACCTCAGAGGTCAGAACAAAGGCAAGTCTGTTCCAGTGGCCTGCTGTACATGAACGGACAGACTTTTTTTTTTTCAATGAGTTATGACTCGATTCACATTTGTCCGTTGTCTCGATGGACACCCACAGTGTTCCAGCTACTGCCTTCTGATACAGTACACAAAACACAGAGAGAGCTATGCAGTGTCCCTGCTAAATATGGATTATTCACACTTATGGTTGAGTCATGAATCACAAACATTATATTTGAAATATACATGTCTGAAGTTTTGCGGAAGAATTCAGTTTTCAAATGTCTGTTGAAATGTCATGAATGAGCTCTCTTTAATACGTCGATTGATTCTCTTGGACAGCAATGAGATTTAATGGAGAGCAAATGATTTTTTTGTCTCCAATTAGTAACCTCACATCTCTCCTGTTGAGTTTCTGGGGAGACCTCAACAGCATCTCAAACTATGCTCAGATTTGGCGCGATACCAAGATATTTCAATGTGAACAAATATTTGTCATCAAATTCTTGCCAGACCAAATGATTTGACCTATGCCATCAACATTCACCGACTCATTTGTGTCTTTTTCTATTTCTCCTGAGGAATTTTTTGAGAGCCAGATGAGACCATGAAACAACACTGAACTAAACTGCACTGAATAATGACGCTATTGTCTTCTGTAGAGCTGCTTTACAACTAAAAGTGAAGTTGTTTAGTAACTGTATCAATTTGTTTTTACTATTGATTACCGTGAAGCTGCTTTGAAACAATCCGTATTGTATAAGGCGCTATATAAATAAATGTGACTTGACATGACTGAAAAGTCACATTAGCTTTGAAAGAGTAACTTCTGAGCAATATAAATTGAATAAACTGTAATATCATTTGAATGTAAAAACAATCAATCAAACAAATGCAGCAAAAGGCTGATCAAAGGTTTTTGTATGAAATGTGCATTACCTGGCCTTATATGGCCCTGAGTGCTGTGAGTGTATGGCAGGGCAGAGTTTAGGCTGGGATTCATGAGGTTGTATCTGATCCAGTTCAGTTCTCTATTTGTAGTAATTGAAGCACATTCGGATAAAGCAAGTGGCACTTGACAACAAAAACAAAGTACTTGAGCCGATGACGTCGTCGGTTAATAAGTGCACTCTTTGAATGGACAAAATATTATGCTGTGCAAGGAATCTCCAACCGCTGGACAGAACAACACAGAGCATGCAACACTGCCTGTGTCTTTTATGTATGTATATGATATAGATTCAGTGCTTTTCACATTGTTACTCTGAGTGACACATAGCACACTTCCGGGGATATCAAATACCCCGTAAAGGAACACTCCACTATTTTTGAAAATAGGCTCATTTTCCAACTCCCCTAGAGTTAAACAGTGGAGTTTTACCGTTTTCGAATCCATTCAGCTGATCTCCGGGTCTGGCGGTAGCACTTTTAGCTTAGCTTAGCATAGATCAATGAATCTGATTAGACCGTTAGCATCTCGCTCAAAAATGACCAAAGAGTTTCTATATTTTTCCTATTTAAAGCTTGACTCTTCTGTAGTTACATCGTGTACTAAGACCGACGGAAACTAGGAACTAGGAACTATACTCTCATTCCGGTGTAATAACCAAGGAACTTTGCTGCCGTACCATGGGTGCAGCAGGCGCAATGATATTACACAGCGCCTGAAAATAGGCTAACTTCCGTCAACATAACCAACGTGACCACCTGCTTGCACAGAGTGTTCCTTTAAATGTTATATTGGGACCCATTTTATATTAAATGTCTTACTACTATGTACTAACATTTAAATGAATCATTTGATACAATGCACTTAATGTTTACATACACGTTTTTACATTGTAGTTACATCTTTTAAATGACCAAGTAATTACACCGATACACTGTAAAATAAATAAATAAATAAAAATGACTGGAGTATATTTTAGAAGAAAATACAATCTCAGTCTTGCTACTTCAAAATTTCATATTTAATTGAATGTGTTACTTGCTGTTTCTTTGTAATTATTTGTGAAATGTGCTATTAATGTATTTTCTTTCTTATTTTGGTCTTTTTTATTGCAATAACAAACATTTACAACAAAAAATAAGAAATGGGGACATACGGTCAGCACATAAGAGAGTCAAATAAAAAGGCACTGAAGGAGAGATGCCATCAATGCCTTTGTATATTAAAATAAATAGATTTTTATATGTTATATTAATTTATATTGTATGTTTATTTGTGTGTGTGTGTGTGTATATATATATATATATATGTATGAAAATATATTAATATTTATACTAAAATAATAATATGCTATAGTTAACAGGGACAAAAATATATGCAAAGAACAAGAAAAAAATGTACTATTATCTGTATTGCTTTGCTGTTATGTTGCTATTTTAAAGTACACGTTCACGTCATTTACATAACATTGTAATGACATTAGAAAGGAATACTTACGCTTATAAAACATATTTATATGATACTCCAAGGTACTTCATATTATAGGTACAGGTCAAAAAAGAAAACATGGTACATGTCTTAAAAAAAAGTACTCCTTTGCACTGTTATGGTACAACGGCCATCTTTATTTGTTAGTGATTATTGAATTTGAAGGACAAAAGCGCCCTCTAGTGGTGATGTAACACCACAGCATTCCAGAACAGATTTCGAACATGGTTTCATCTAATGAGACACGTTTGATACTAAATCATGCCACTCGTTATGAATGGGATATGATTTCGCGTGATTTACTAAGTAGAAAAGACGAAAAGAAAAGCGTTGTCACGTGTGACGCGGCGGTGACGTCGCGGAGGGGGAAGTTGTTGTTGTTCTTGCTCGACTCTTGCAGCAGTGGATCAGTAACCGGTGAAAGCAGAGTCTCTGGTCCCGGAATAACGACAATAATGTGCCGATGAGTCTCTCGTGTAGCTGAGGCTGTAGTTGATGAAGGAATGGAGGTGCTGGACAGTCCTCTCAATCTCGTAAGTGTCTGTTTACAAGTCCCATTAGCATGCTAGCAGCTGTTAGCTTAGCCGCATTTAATCTTTGAACAAATTAAAATATAGCTGCGAAGAGTTTACCCGGGCTTTTAATTCACTTAACCGTGACGTGAAGACTCTGTATAATCCGTGTGCTATTTTAATGTAGTCTGTTTTAGTTAGCCTCCATATGTGTTTATTTACTGCTGACAGCTGATCCCCTTTAAACAAACAAACAAACACACACACACACACACTCTGACATATGACTCGAAATGTGATTTATTATTTCCTAGTTATTTCCTAGAGATTTATTATTTCCTAGATTTATAGCAGTACGTTACTGTTGGCTGTTCATGATATAATCCTGAAATTGGGATTATATCATGAAATTATTATTTATTTTTTTTTTAAAGTTGAATAAAATTTTTGCTTTGCAAATTATATTATCAGCATAACAACAAAGCAGCAAAGATTAGAGATTTCTCTCTCACCGATATTGTAATATTATGTTGGTATAAATGTCAATATAAATTCATAAACTGAAATGAATTAAAAACAATAAATGTATATTACCGGTATATATAATATACTCAAATTTAGTTAGTATTCATAAGACCATCTTCCCCATTGTTGAAAAAGGGGGGGCTTTTAAAAAGAGTACTTATTATGGAAATAATATACTTGAAATAATAAACTTCAATACAAACTGAATTTAAAGTTATGGACACTTATTGCATGTTATTTCCAATTGAAACAAAAAAAAATATTATATTTTAAATTTATATTAAATGCAAGTAGTTAAACTTGACCCACCCGAGTAGTGCATTTCTGTGTGTAATTTCATAATTCCTTTCTCTTTGAAATATGTTTAAAGTGTACTGCTAAATGTACTGTGTTTATGGTAAACTAAATTTCATGTCAGTGTCATCATGACAATGTCATTTCTGTTGAATCTTGTATTTGTTTTGTAATGATGATGATGTAATTTAGTGCATTTAAAATATATTAATTTGAAATGTAATATCAAATCACACACTGCAGCACAAATACCCCACATGTGCTTTATAATATACTTCAATACAAACTGAATTTAAAGTTATGGACACTTATTGCATGTTATTTCCAATTGAAACAAAAAAAAAAATTATATTTTAAATTTATATTAAATGCAAGTAGTTAAACTTGACCCACCCGAGTAGTGCATTTCTGTGTGTAATTTCATAATTCCTTTCTCTTTGAAATATGTTTAAAGTGTACTGCTAAATGTACTGTGTTTATGGTAAACTAAATTTCATGTCAGTGTCATCATGACAATGTCATTTCTGTTGAATCTTGTATTTGTTTTGTAATGATGATGATGTAATTTAGTGCATTTAAAATATATTAATTTGAAATGTAATATCAAATCACACACTGCAGCACAAATACCCCACATGTGCTTTAGTGTGTTAGTTAGCACATCAGAATAAGTGCACTTCTTTAAAGGCTGACAAATGATTATTAAAATGTACTTTAGATAAAAATGTTTCATTTGACGTTATTACAAAGTACACTTAAGTGGCCTTTTATTTCATTAATATTATATTATCTGCAAATACAGTTTTTTTAATGTACTTTTATGATTTGAAGTAGACTACAAGTACACATGCAATTTAGTGCACTTCTTTTTCACAAGGATCAATGGACGCAAGAACACCTGACCATCTGTACAAAAAGTTCACATGATCATTGTCAAAAATATACTTCTTTCCAAGTTTGAATTAGATTTTGACTGTCAGATGTTCAGTGTGGTCTCAGATCCCACTGTAAACACTGAATACTTGTATCTGTACCGTGTTAACAAACTCATAATGAAATAATGTCATCTCTTTCAGGCCCATCAACAGTGCAGGAAAGCAGAGCGCTTGCTGGCCGCTGGGAAATTTGAAGATGCCATCTCCTGCCACAGAAAAGCTGCAGGTTGGTTTCAGTTTTAAGCTCTATTCAGACACTAATCGTTTCTCTGTGAAAGTAAAGTCACATGACAGCTCAGTGATAAAACGTATGCGTACGGATGGTGATTTATTTAGTTCTGTGATCCAGTGAACTTGGGAATGTGGTCAGACACATGATTGTCAGGTGTACAGTACACACAATGTGTTATTGCTTGGACAATTAATTAATTAATTAATTCATATTTATTTTAATAATAGGAAAACAATATCCTATTTGTTATTTAATTATGTAAATATTCTAGTTAAATACATAGAAAAATTGATGCACTATATTGTAAATGGTTTTCTGTCTTGCATTTTATCTCTAAAAATGAAGAATGTCATTTAAAAAAGCAGAAATAAATGAACACAAACTCTTATTTACATTAGATAAACATTTGACCTGGCTCCTTGTTTGACTAGTAAAATGATTAGTTGTGCAAGCCTTAAAGTTGGCATGAAATGATCTTTTCTTCTTGAACAAGAAAAAATGTAGAGAGCAAGACTTGATTTTGTCCATCGAGAACAGATTGGATCATTGGATCAAAAAAAAAGCCATATCAATTGAAAAAGGTGCAGCACTCACTCTTGAAGGGATGTTTAAACATCTTAAAAATGTTTTTTTTTTAAATGTATTTCATAAGCTTACGGTTTTTTTTTCTTTGTTTTTTTCAAAAGTTAGTGCGAAAGTTACCTTACACTGCTTGACAGTGGCCAAAAAGGATTTACAAAAAGATTGTATTGATTCCCTTCTTCTAAAGTCACAGATGTGGAATCAGACGGCACTTAAATGACCACACGACCTTGGTGTTTGTCAAAACGCAGTAGGTCATTCCGACATTCTGGATTCAAACAGCCATAAAATCACAGGCTAGCCATCCTCACGAGAAACAGTTGTCTTCAGAATAGGGCTTTAGTCTCCTTAGGTTTGTCTCACAAAGAACGCCAAAGCTTGGCTAGTCGAATTTGAGCCTAAACAATATTCTTGTATAATCTATGAGTAGCACTGGGCTCAACCGCTGATTGGAAACCAGCCCTGGATGTGTGTGCTTACATAACTTAACATAACGTCATTTCTCCACAGAACTTCTCAAGGAGGCCATGAAGCTCACCGAGTGTGAACAGGTATGCCTATACGGTCCTCAGTGTCCTGCATTTTCTTCATTATTATTTATTGTGGATAATGAGATGTTTCTTTCCTGCGTAGGCTCGCTTGTCACTGGAGCTTCAGAGGGACAGTCACGTCAAGCAGCAGAGGCTGATTGAGGAGCAATGGAAGCGAGCAAAGCGAGAGGACAAGCCCAGAACACTCCAGCATGTCCCCGCCTCGGACCAAACGCCACGCCGCCACCTAGAACCGGGCGGAACCGCCACGGACGTCTCCCAACCCTCTGAACGCGAGTATGACACCTGGTTGTACCTCCTGAAGAACAAAGGCACTGTCCCAGAGCCCTGCGCAGGCACTAAAACCCAGAAAGATGACAAAACCCGTCTGGAAGAGCAGCAGACCACCATCGACGGTCTACGCAACCTGGTGGACCGACTGGTGTCCGAAAACGAGCAGCTGAAACTGGAGAACGAGCAGCTGCGGGCGGAGAACGCACGGCTGAAGAAGGAACCCTACGCTGATGCCGACTTCGTGGAGCGGTCGGAGCTGTGGGTGCTTCCACAGACGGCCGAGGAGCGCAAGGCCAAGGACATTCCCATCCCACAGCTCCCTCCGCTGGAGATGCCCACTCAGGAGATCCCTCTGGAAGACCTGCCCGGCCTAGAGCTTCCTGAGGACATCCAGCAGGAGCTGCAGGAGCTGTTGGACGGGAAGAAGCTGTGACCGCTCACACACCAAAGGGAGACTTCGAGCGCCATCGCGTGCCAGCGAACACACCGAGGAAGCACATTCACGGTGAAGCAGCCCAGCGGCGGAAATGACGGTTCACGCGACCGATTGGATACACAAAGAAAGAAAACCACGCTTTTTGAAGTATGTGTGCCTTTTTGAACATTTCGAACGTGTTTTTTGTTATGAAGTACGAGTGAAAAGGGACATTCTGTGTTATCAGACGTTTTATCAGCAGGTGAATTTGCCTCTTGCAAAATCCCACTTTGAATCGAAAACTATTTCCTACACAGACACTGTGAACTACATTCATAATGTGTGAGTGTGTGAGGGTTTTGTGCAGTATCTGTTGATCAGCACCATCCATGTTGATGTTGTGGTTATGCCGTTTCAGTCGTCTATCAACAGCGCAGATTTAGGGCATAGAGGAAGCCAAGAGGCATCAATGCAATTAGTTATGCATTCTGTTTCCGTACACTGATAACCAGCTTGCAGCACTTGTTTTGCCTTATTGCAATTAGTACAAACCCCAGGCATGATGTCATCTCTGGACGATTTGTAGCAACCTGTAAAACGAAAACAGCTGTGGTTTATTTTGAGACTGAACATGAGTGAGTCTATTGCATTCGGAACGATAAGCAATAATCATGTCAAGTGCTACAGAATCACTCATTCAGTTGTTTCTCATCTCCGCTGACTTCTCTGAATTCCTGCTCCGCTGTGTCAGTCTTCAGACGCAATGCCAACAGCATAGGAATGGACATGTCCTGAAAGCTTCGCTCTTTGGACCTGTGTGAAGTCTGAATGAACTGAGGATGTTGTTTTGAAGTTTCGTTTGTACTGTACTCCTCAATCAAGGATTGTCTGAATCACGGTGTTAATATTTTCAGGTAACTGATTGCACAATCATACCTTGCTCTAACAATAAACCAGGTCCTCACACTAATCAAAAGCTTACCAACATGTGCCAGACGCGCCTGGGAAGAGATGAATTTATGGCTTATATTTGTGTCATGAAGAGGGAACCAAATCCACATTTTGCTCTTTTTATTATTTTGTTTTTAGTTCAATGTTTAATTACTGGTTTATCACAGTAATCAGGGTGCATCAGATTGTTTTTTTTATTTTAAATTTTGTTTTGTGATGTTAAAAAACAATGAAAATCATATGACAAAAGTGTTTTGATGCATGAATGGCTGTTCTACGGTAGCTGTACGTATGTATGATTAAGATATTGAAAACAAGAATTTATGTATTATTTTGTTTTGAGAGTTTACTTGTTCTGACAAGCATTAAAGATTTTAACAAGTGGCAGCATAAATCTGTTTTTGAGTTGTTTGTCCAACTGCTTGTAAGCTATTTCTAATACAGTATATTGAAAATATACTACAATAGTACAAATATTCCATGCAGTCTATTGAACAGGAGCTCATAAAAGCTGCATTCATAATTTTAAAAGAATGTTTTAATTTGTTTTTAATGGAATATAGCATAGTCACGCTACACATAAACTTGCCATAGTTCATGTTAACTGCCCACTAATGCAAACGGGTCTAAATTAGTCACTGATTTTGAAAAATGTACTACATGTAAAAACAATTGTACTCTTTCTTTTTTTTTTTAAAGGTTTGTATAAATCATTAAACTGTAAGATTCTTTATCAGAGAGACTTTAGAATGGTAGTGACTGCACTACAAATGAGTGTACATTGCATCATTTCTAAATTCCCACAATAGCTCAACAGCCTCCTCTGGTGTTCAATCTGTGAATGACAGCATGTGTTCAAAAGTGGGCAAAGTCTATTGGGCAGCAAATCCAGAATTTGATTTTCTCAATAAGACACTGGCTTGTGAAAAGTGGGCATTACATACTAAACAAGCACTAGATCTGACTGTTTGGCTATTGGTTAAAATTTTTTTTTTTGGTGACGTCAGTCGAGAAAGAAAGTTTTCGAGGTGAAGCACATTTTGATTACGAGAATATATATATATATATATATATATATGGCCAAACACAGAATATCTCCTATAGATAATTTGAACCTTTCATCTTGTCAATAAAGCAAAAGGCAGCCAGATATTTGATAAATCCATTTTAATGGAAAATGTAAAACCCCTTTGAACTTCAATGTACAAAGCATGTAACACTTGCACTTTAAAATTTGAAATTGAAGCAAGCCATGTTTAAAAAAATACATCAGTGAATGTATATATGTATAAATTTACACAGCATAGTACGATTTGCTTTTTCCACTGAACTTCAAAAGTTCGCCATAGTAAATCTGAACATAAAAAGGAAGAAACAAGACCGTTTTTCTTGAATAAATTACAACTTTTTTTGTAAATGTCTCCATTTTACAGTGAATACTTTTTAATAAAATGCTGAAGTGTTATTCGTTAAGTCTTTCTTTACATAATAGAACTTTACAATGTTTACAATTGTTTGGCAGTTCTTTTTCTCAAAAGATATGGCATGAGGACACGAGACAGCGGATCTCTCTCACAGTAACTCCAAGTCTCCAAAGTAGTAGTGAGCGCCATCAGAAATCCATTAGCAAACTGTACAAGTCACATTTACATTTGATCGAGAACAGAGCGTAGAACTCCTAAAAAATAAATACGATTCTCCACTGAAACTATACAGTATGAAAGAACAAAAGGGGAACGAAACCAAACAGACAAACAAACACTAGATTCTCTTTAGAAGTGTGGCGTGTCAATCACAGTCATCCTGGTGCCCTATACTGCTATGGTGTCAGTAACAAAAACAGTTTACTGGTGGTTTTTCTCTGCTTGGCACTGGAGGTTCGCGGCGTGAGCGTTAGTGTGCATATTTGGGGGAACGTGTCGACGAGTGTGTCATGAGTTCATCTCCTCCTCTTCCTCTGCGCAGCACCTCTTTAATGTCCCCACAGCATCCTTCACGCAGTGGTAAAAGATGTTCTTGACCTGAGAGAAACGGCAGGCTGTTAGAATCACATGACTTGATGAGAGACGTCTGAAATGGCATGGCAACTGATGAAAGTTCGTCCGGCAGACTGCATTGCTGAGAAACATCAGGAAACTGAGAAGCACAAACACTAAACTAAGAGTGCAACGGTCCCCCAAACTGAACTGCCACCCAAACATATTTGGGGGTGTTGTGGGAATTTTCTATTTCAATAAAAGTATGAGACAAAAGTCTTTTGAAGATCTATTTTCTTGCAAAAAAAGGTCAACAGTCATATAGACGGCTGCAGAGTGACAAAGAGGCAACACCCCAACTCAACATTTATACCTTCATCAAATGCGGATGCTTTGATCTCATCCAGTCATAATGCATATTCAACTTATACGTCCATTTAAGGTGTCTAACTATGTCCTCCAGATGCGTTTCTAAGAAGCCAGGACATCTAAAAAGCTGACATAACATTTTCCTGTCTCACACTTGTCTTGCACTTAGATTTCCTGTCATCTCTCATCTCAGGACAAACTTAGAGAAGAAAGAACACTCTTTAGTAGAGTAAAGCAAATAAAACTACTAATAATATAAATATAGAATAAAATTCCCTCCACACAGTGTGTCTGCAGAGATTTTAAAATATAATTTTAAGACCTATACAAATTTGATAAAACTTTTAAACTTTGAGATAAATTGTATATTTTGGTTTTGTTGTGCATGGACAACAAAACCAAAATATACAATTTATCTCAAAGTTTAAACGTTTAAAATATTCAAGACGTGTTGCACATATGTATTGAAATTGAATTAGGTACTAATATATCAATACATGAATAGGGGTTATGCGCAACAGACTTCCGTATTCTGTTAACCGGGTCTCGTCGCTTCCGGTTCAAGCGTTTTGCATATGCTTCGTTAAATATGAAGCAGTTTTACTCAAGATGCCTTCAGCGTAGATACCAATGATGTCCATCACATATGCGGACTGATATCTAAAAGTTTTTTTTTTTTTAATTCTTTTCACATTTAGATATAAAAATGGAATAAAACGTCAACAATAAAAACAGCTAGCTAGTTTAACTGATTATCTTAAAAGTCCATAGATATCGCTATTATTTAATACGGCTGTTAACACGTTCTCCGACAAGCGGAAGCGATGAGACCTATTTTCCGGGTTTGGTCAGGTGATGTTCGACATATACCCTATTAGACGTTGATTGATATTGGATTTTACAAATAAAATGATAATAATGTGTTTTTAAAAAGGCAAAAAAATGACATTATTGTGCCAATACTAATAAAATCTATATTCTGAATGTGTTAAATATAAGGCTGACAAGTGATTCAAATTTATAATTTAATTAATTACATGATTTGCCAATTAAGTCATCAAATTTACTGCAAATTAATCATTTTAATTCATGTTTCTATGCAAAAAAAAATTTGACTTTTAATTATAAATGAGCCCAAAATTCACTGGGACTTTTATTTTGAAATGTATTTGCTTTACTACTTCCAGCTGCTCATTCAAAAACATGAGGGAGATAAGATGTGCACTCTTGCAACCACCTACAAAATATCACAGTATAAAGATCATAAAGGAAATTCATCAGTAGTGGATCGTAAGCAATCTATATTGGCATACAGTGCATGTGTGGTATTGACTGCAAACTGCTCTGAATCCATGTGCCTGTAGAACGTGTAACAGCACTGCATCTTCAAACATGCAGCGCTCACATTTATTTAATTAAACCATTGTCTTTTGAAATTTAATAATCACATTAGGTTGTATCGCCACATTTGTTACAGCATTTAACATATTTAAAACTTTTTAGGACCTTAAACTAAATTTAAGACATTTTTAGGACCCAGTGAATCCTGATATTTGTAACTTTTATGCTATCTCATGTCTAACGATGCATCTGAAACTATACATATTAAATGTGTTCTGTTGTGAGGAGAGTATTTGAGTTTATAACACAAGTGGAAGTAAACAGACTGCATGTTTGTGTAACAATCTAAAGAGCAACAAATCATAGAGACTGTGATCCAGCTCAGGCCTTTATATTCCCAAAAATGTTGACATGTTGCAATATTTCCAGTTTGAACTCTACCTGTAGCTTATCTTCATAGTTGATTTCCTCTTTGGAGGATCTGAGTTCCTGGGTTAAGTGGAACGAATGCACCACATGCTCCGGAGAGACAAAGTCGTTGATCACCTGGACGCAGCTGTGCAGGTTTTGCACCTGTACGGATGAGAGACACACAAATCTGAGTGCGCAGTGATGTGACAAATATCAGAAAGATGATGGTGCTCTGGAACTTCAGCTAGGTCAGAAAGAGGAAGTTTGACTGTGATTGTGGTTTTGCTGAAAACCTGTATTATGCAATCTACTACATGCCTACAGTCACCTGATTGACATTATAATTTAGCAAGTAAAATGCCTTTTAGTATAATTGTTAAAACATTCCCTTCAGATCGTGGTCTTTTGCCAATCTTTACTGGTAAATGTAAGTGACTTTTATATTGTCAGTAATATTACAACATTTACTAAACTGAAGCAACTTAAGTTTACTTGATTATCCATACATTATTTTTTTGAAAAATTTAAAATCAAGCTATCAAATATGATACATCAGGTTTCTGAGGAACGTTTATTTGTTCATCTCTCAATCATCACTGTATTGCATTGCATTATGTTTTGCCCCCCACAACTACAGAGCTTTGATCATAAAGCTAAGCATTTAAATTTCAGCTTACTAAGACATACTATTGGGAGATTGAGTTTGACAACCTATATTTATATGCATTTTACTTAAGTTATATTGTTATAAAGATCTCATTGATTTACATTACAAACTGTCAGAATTTCATCTTACGTTTTGTCCAAATAAATAGCAACAACTGCACCAATAATATTTTTGCTCAGTTTGGGCCTCTGGTGTTGGTGTATCATATATGATACTCTACACATATGAAACCCTTTATTATTATTATTATTATTATTTTGATTCAATAAACCATTTCATTTCGAATAAATAGATTTTTCTAACTATTATTTCATATGTCAGGCTTTACACGGTTAAAGTGAAGTTAAAAGCATTAGCCTTTTTTTTTTTGATGTTTTAAATAATTCAAAGATATTCAGACAAAGTGTGGCTTAAGTGTTTTAACAATTTTTAGCAACACTGTAAACAAAACTGAACTTTGTTGCTTTCCATGTCTATAAAGTGGGGGTTTTTGGTCTGAATAATCAATAACACAACAAAAGCCCCAGAACGTAGTATATATCATGATTTGCTCATGTGATATCAGTGG